TATATATATATACTATAAATTATTATATGTGCGATATGGCTCTGTATTTAATCAACTTATCGTTTAATTATCTTTGTAACTTATGTAGAGAAGCGTAGGTCAAATTTAATACTGATATTGCTGATATTGATGATTTTGCTGATAAATATTAACTGGCGTCTTAGTTATACGTGTGGATATGGGTAGACTTCTTCTGCTTCTTGAAGTACATGTCCAATTTACAAGTGGCAAAGTATTGAAGGATACAAAATTTCTGCTTGTATTAAGCAGTTTATTCCTTTAAAGAGCGCTGTACGTAATCTGATGTTTTTAATTACATTATATTATTATTTAAAAATTAGTTCATTTAATTTCTTTGTTTAATTACCTCACTTGAGTTCTAATTATACTTATTTTCGTTCCGTCACATTTTATAAGTAATAATTTTGCTAGATGATAAATGAAATATTGTCTAATTGATTATTATTTTATAAATTGTTCTCAACTTTTCTTCTTTCGAGGATGGATTTTTCATCCACACTAATTGATTCCACAGCTAAAAACACGCAAGATGTCAAAATCATCACACTATTTTCTGGACCTATTTCATAATAAATGAGTGATGGCGCTTATCCACATATATTAAATATAAATCAACACATAACGTTGCGAGCTTTCCTATCGCATTTCTTTGCCAAAAAGGTGACAAACATGCAATGATCATAGAAACTAAATAATACTCCATATATCCCTCAAGAATTCAGCGAAGACTAGAGTTATGGATTTTAACAATGTAAGTCATTTGTTTATAATAAATATTGTAAGGATATTTTACTTTGCTAAGTATTCACTGCAAGAGGAATGAGATGATGTTTAATTTGATATTTCAATAAATTTATTCCAATGTTCCAGTAAAAATGAAAAACAAATTTTTTAGTAGAATATAATTTTTTTTAATGCTAATTACTTATTTCATGACCATAAATATTTAGTAATTTTATTAAGATAGTCGAACATTCGTTTTTACCCTCAATAAATTGTAAGTTTAATATCATATATAATTATTAACATATTATTATTGCGAAAAAGCTGAATTATTATCACAGAAAAATAACACAATAAAAGAGTTATTTTATTATAACAGATACGTAATAATATTTTACCATAGATAAATAGAAATTGTATTATTCACAGTTAATTTTCTAAAAAGCAGTGAAATAGACAAGACCACTACAACAACAAGAACAATTATCAAAAAAATACAATTTATTAAAATATTATGTATTGTGTATGCGAATATTGTTGTATGTAAACTTCTTGAAGACGAGGAAATTTCGTGTGGCGTGTGTGCAAAAGAACCCCATATATGTATATCCATATTTGAAGTACCGGATCCTTCAAAAATAAGCTGTGTTTATTTAGAGAAAGTACGTTTTCATTTTTTTAATTTAATTAGAAAGTTGCAACGAACAATGTTGGTTAACGTTTTAAGACAAAACCATTCAAGATTTAGTGCATGGAAATATGTTTTTTCTTAGCATATTTTAACTTATTATATAGCTCAGAAAAACGGTTCCGCAGCTGAAAGTGTAGATCCTTACCTTGTTTGTAATTATGTTACAATCAACGAACGGAGGAGAGCGATGATAATCAAGTTTTTGTACCAGAAATTAAAAACATCGTATTTTTACAAAATGTATGGTATTTAAAATTTACTACCCAACATTTCCACTAAACCAAATTTACGAAAAATCTTAATTTTAAAAATTAAATTTTTAATTAACTTTCCACGTGTGATTAACGGAACTATTTAATCAATTATTTTATATCCTTTTTTTCTGTTTTTCTAAAACTGCCACTTCAATTTATTTGAATAATATACTAATCTATTTCGTTTAATTTTTACTAGTACTTAAAGTCTTTCTTTGAATTAACACTCGTTTTAAATAATTGTCAAGCTCCTTCTCGAGTCTCAGAACAATGTTAGCTGATGCCAGTTAACTGATAAGAATTTAATAACTCGGTTCAAAACGTCTCATTGATTATATTAAATTAGTACAACCTTTTTCCCTAAGAACGGACAAACAAGTTATTTATTTACTTTATTGTTTCTTATTTGTTTGATTTGTGTAAAGTAAATACACATAGGTGCAACTCCAAAAAACCGCAACTGTTTGCTTTGTTTTTTAAATGAACAAATTCAAACCGCAATTTTTGACGTTTAAACTTATATATTACACCGATAACTTTATGGAAGCCGAGATTTAAAAAAAGATTTTAAAAAATATACTTTTGTTAAAATTATTTTCAAATTTAGCACAATTCACAAGATATTATAGTATTTGGAAAATGCCTTCTTTGTTTAAACAACAAATACTAAAAATTTAAATTTGTAAAACGATTCTATTTTTAGAAACATAATCATTTGAAATATGTAATAAAAAGATACATAATTTTTGAACCTATTTTAATAAAAAAATCGCAGCAAGAGGATTAAATTACTTTCTACAAAGAAAAATAAATACAAATGCTTCCCATATTTCGTCATAAGAGGATAAGAATGATATTGCAACCCTCTCAAAAATTTCTTCATTTTCAGAATTTAAATCAGTTTGAAAGAAAAATATTATTGCTTGAAGGCTAAAACGAGAAACAATTTTACTATTATTATTTATTTAAGCCTATTCTAATTTCTAGACAGTGGTATCAATGATAAGTATATACGTTGAAAGCCCCGTTTACTGTGATACTATAATTGCATTAAATCATAAGCTTGAATAATTTATTTTAAGTAAATTATTTTATTTTAATTTTAAGCAAACAAGGGTGTAAAGGTAAACTCTATCGAAGTACGTCTAAAGTTTACCCAAAACATATTTAAATAAAATTTGGAATCAATAAATAAAAAATGCATTTTTAAATACTTTCGAGTAAGACAAATGGCGTCTGAAGGGCAGATTTGTTGACACTCTTTCAGGGACACCATATTAGGGGGGCCAACGTTGCTCCCACAGTAAGGACAGATAGTACAGAGAAGGAAATAACAACAATGCCTTGCCCGGGATTTGAACCCAGAACCTTTCTGGTTCAAGCCCAGTTCCCATACCCCTACAACGGCCGGTCGGCTGTGCGAAGAAATAAAGATTTGTATTTTAATATTTTAATAGGGTTCATGCAGTCCTTAAAAATGCAGGAGAACCGTTACAGCACTATTGTAATTATAAAGCTATCTTTTTTTAAATTTAAAATTAAAATTTTGAAACCAAATATTTAGAGTAAATGAAATTGAACATTTTAGTGAATGTAAATGTAAAAAATTACATTTTACTTTATTAACTTTGCTGCCACCATTTCAGTACCTTAAGGATTTTACAAGCTCTATTTAAAAAAGGAGTGTCGCATTAGATATACACCGAAGAGCCATTGCATTATGACCCCCCCCGGTAATAACATGTAGGACCACCTTTAGCCCTCAAAATTGCTAGCACCCGCTGTGGCATTGATTCCACAAGGTGCTGATAGGTAGTCTGAGGTATCTGGTACCAAGCGCTCACCAACTGGTCCTGCAATTCCTTCATATTGCGAGGGGGTAGCGTGGCAGCACGAATTTGATTTTCCATTAAGGACCACAAATGCTCTATTGGCTTAAGGTCAGGTGAATTTGGGGGCCAAGACATTACTTGGAAGTCAGTGGAATGTTCCTCGATGATTCCTCCCTTACGACATGGTGTACTATCCTGTTGGTAAACACCATCTCCCGCAGGAAAAACTGTTGCCATGAACCTGGTCTGCAACTATGTTCAAGTAGCTTAACGTCAGGGATTGTTCTATGAGGATTATGGGTCCTAATGTGCCCCATGAAAACATGAAAACCTGGGTGAGCCCATTGATATAGATGGAGGGTGGTCATAATGTAATGGCTCCTCGGTGCATATAGAGATCGTGAGAATCATAAAATAAGTTTGTAAATTAAGGGAAAAAATAATGAAAATAATGAATCGTGATAAATGCAGTTGATCGTAAATAAAGAACATGTTCAGCGACATTTTGTGGTGAATTTGTGAAAATGAGTTCAAAATACATCGAAAGATCAGGATGCTATTTACAAATCATCTTTACTCAAACCAATCAAAACTGTGCACCTCAAATGTTAGACAGAACTGACTAATTTTTTAGACAACGAATCCTACAATATACAACATATTATTACAATATGTTTCGCTTAAACATACTTATTTCAATGATTTTAAAATGCTACTTTACATTCACCAATTTCTGCAGTTATCGTAACTATAAAGAAGTATCGTAAATAATAAAGAAAACCTAGTGAATGCTCAATAGAATTACCATACACTCTACAATTTTTTTAGGAACTTTTTTTTCGTTTTTTTCTTGTTATTAGTTTCCTTAAAATTTTTTGCCTATAAGACTCGACCAAAGCTGTAAAAATACACCTAAACATTTGTATATAATTATAATAAGTTACCTAAATTTAATTTTAGTATGAAATCCTCATATAAATGGAGTATAAAACATCATAAAAAACAAAAATAATGTCAGATAAAAAATATTCATGTGTTCAAATATTAATAAGCTTGAAAAAACATAACTCTATATATATGAAAATGAATGTTTGTCTGTGTGTCCTTTATAGACTCCTATACCATCCGACCGAAAGTTATGAAATTTGGCATACAGATAGTTTCAAACACGAGGAAGGTCACTGTCGATATTAGAACATTCTTCGACAAATCTTTCTAATAGGATGAGAGAAAAACGAAATGGAATTTTCTGATTGGTTAAGAGTTAAACAGCTTTTGTAATTTAACCAATCAATTTTAACTTATTTTAAAGATACATTAGTGATAATTGCTAGCTTATAGCTTTATTTGATCAAAAAATGGTTTATTGCACGCATTTAAATATTTAATTATTTTATATTCGCTATGTCAGATGAATTTAATGAGCATTACGTAGAACTACGCATGGTCTACGTCACCAAATTTAAACTTTGTCTGATACCACGCGTTTTTATTATATTTATGTTACCGGCAAAGTATGAAACGCCGGCATTGTAAAGAATGACTAGGCATTGTATAGAATGCCTGACGTTTTTAGGCAAAGTATGAAATGTGAGAAGTAATGCATACAATGCCGGATGCTATTTAGGCAAAGTATGAAATAAACGTCCTGATGAGATTATTATGCAAATGATGTGCATGTTACTGTGAATGAGCGAAATCGGTGGTTGTTGACTTTTACCGGTGAATGTTGACAATCACATAGTCGCTTTGGTGAATGCCTGAAATATTTATTACATCCGATTTGATATTAATTTATTCGTGGATATAATTACATGTATTCGATATTTTAATGCTTACTGACGATAGATTAGAAGAAACATCAGTGTTTGGATTATCGGGCAAATGTATACCGGGCAGTGACCCTTGACCTTAAAAAAACATTAGTGTTGGGTATACCGGACAATGACGCTTAACTAGACCTAGTATATATTTCGGACATATACCAAAGGTTCCGTCATACTAGTTACGGCTAAGTGCCATTGCCCGGTATACATTTGCCAGGTATACATTGCCCGGTATACCCTACACTGATGTTTTTTGAAGGTCAAGTACCACTGCCCGGTATACCCCACACTGATGTTTCTTTTAATCTACCGTCAGTAAGTATTAAAATATCGAATAAATGTAAAACTACCGATTTCGATCATTCACAGTAACATGCATTTCTCAAAAATAAAAATGTTATTCTGAAAAAATACTGAGAGTGCCA